AAAAAAAGTTCTTGAGTTCTGTCATCCCTGACATTCAGAAAAACTAAAGTCAAGTTTACTATTCGTGATTCCATGTGTTCGGATAAGTATTGATTCATAGAATTTCAATAGTAAAAGATACTTTTGAAAATTACATAGTGAATCCCTTCATTTTATAACTGATAAAGACTGAAGCTACTCAGTAAAACTAAATGTTCTGTACATGCCCTTACAGCAAGATATTCCGTTGCCAAGAAAAGAGAACCTTATTCTTCATCTTTCGAGTTTTAGAGTCTCTTACATCTTAAATTTCAACGGAGCCCTGGTAGGGTAAGGAGTAGACTGCTACTCACAGCTCGGCAGTTCAAACCTATCAGCTGCTCCACAGATGAAAGAGGAGGCTTTCTGCTTCTGTAAATACTCTGTAAATATTTAGAGCCTCATGGTATGGTGCTGTTGGATAAGCACTGTGCTGTTAAACTGACCAACCACTCTCAGAAACCCTATACATGGTCACTATGAATAGGAACCAACTCAAGGACACAACACCACACGCATACCAAACTAATACATTGTTGCTATCAGTGAGACTTGACCGGATGAAGGTGGGTTTGGTATTTTGGATTTATAATTTTCTTAAAGAGCCCTAGTCACACAGTGGGTGAAGCATCAAGCTACTAACACCAAGGTTCAAACCCAATAGCAGCTTCATGGTAGAAGGAATTGCTGCCTGCTTTCTTATGGGTTTACAGTTTCAGAAATCCTCAAGAGCAGTTCTACTCTATGAGTCCGAGTCAATTTGGCAGCAGTTTGATGGTTTTTGCTTGTTTTGTCAAATCTCTTGGGAATCTTGTTAAAATACAGATTCTTATTCTTAGTTCTGGTCTAAGGCATGAAATTCTGCATTTCTACTAACAAGCTCCCAGGAGATGCTGATGTTCTTGGTCCATGGACCACACTTTGAGTGGTATGACTTTAACAGAGAAAATTCATTTCCCAAGTGAAGATAAGCATTAGTGAAAGTATAGTTCTGATTTAGATATAGATGATTGCTCCAAAAAGGATTTGTGCACCTAAAATAGTGCTAAGTTTTACTATCCCAAATATTCTGTGTGATCTTGTTATGTGCAGATACCACTCTCCTATACTACTCGTTTCCTGAAAAACACTTCGTTAGACGTTTGTAATAAATAACAAATTAAATGGGTAGGGATGTTTTTTCTTTAACCACTTCTATCTTCGTGCCTTGTATTGGCTGTTCACACAACTCTTTTCATCTAAGATACCTAAATGATATTTTACAAATAAATATATTACTTGTCTTAAGGGACTCAAGATTCCTGAACTACTTGTTAATTTCATGAATCTTAAATAAGAGCATTTCTTGTCTTAGATGACTGAATTTCTCTTTTTCTTTCTCTGTATCTTTCTCTCTCTCTCTCTCTCTCTCTCTCTCTCTCTCTCTCTCACACACACACACACACACACACACACACAGGTGGACACACTTTTTACACCATATTCTTTGTATGGAAAAAAAAAAGATAGGACTATCATGTAATCAATACGATAACTTTTATTTGTCAAGAATGCAAGCAAGATGAAACAATTGTTTTAAATGTCCTTAGTTCTAGAATTACCTACTTATGTAATGTTGTTGTTGTTAAGTGCTGGCAAGTTGGTTCCGACCCATAGTGACCCTGTATAGGTTTCTGAGGAGCAACTGGTAAGGCTGAACCACCGACTTTGCAGTTCAAACCAACTTTGCAGTCCAGCGCATTAACCCACAGTGCCACACCAGGACTCCCTAATTATGTATATGTCAGTAAATATCCATATAGATGCCCTGATGGCATAGTGAGTGACCCATTGGGCTGCTAACTTTAAGGTGAGCAGTTCAAACCCACCAGCCACTCTTGTAACAATTTACAATCTCACAAACCTTAGGGAGCACTTCTTCTCTGCCCTATAGGGACACTGTGTGTTGGAATCAACTCAATGGCAGTGAGTAGGAGCTATCTATATGGATGTACTAGGGAGGCCTCTGAAAGTTTGTGGACAAATGGAATTAGATCATTGGAATTTTCCCACAAACCTTTTGAAGCCACCTCTTTTATCCTGCTTCAGAAACAAGTAAAATAGCTCAAAAACAAAAACCTCCAAAACTGTTAACGTAAGAAATTGTTTTATCAAAAATAAGTCCCCATATTATTTTATTCACATTCTTACAAAAGCATGTAAAATTATATTTTAGGAGAAATGGCCCAATCTCATAGATTATAATTCTTAATATACTTACCTCTTTGGGTAGATCTTCATCTACTCACTGAAGCAAATATATTCTAGCCAAGAACAACCAGTTTATTTATACATATATATGTTTTGAAGAATTCAAAAGGGATATATCAAGATAAAGTATTAATTGTTAAGATTATTGATATTATCATTAACGACCAAAATTATGCTCTAATTTTACACAAATATTCATGGGGCATAAAATCTAGAACGACTAGTATTTTATCTTGTAGGCCATTCTTCATGAAATAGTGTTACATATCAAATCTCTAGACACCAATTTTTTAGCACTGAATTTGGTTTGAATGGAAAGATATCATCTCTTTATTAGTAAATGAGCACAGTGATTCTGTAGGATACGCACTGGACTGCAAAGCACAAGGTCAGTGGTTTCCACCAGGTAGGCAAAGGCTGAGGCATTCTGTTTCTGCAAAGATTTACAAACTTAGAAACTCTATACAAGAGTCGCTAAGAGTCAGAACTGACTCAACAGCACTTAACAGCAACTATATAAGTAAAAATAAGTAGTTTTATTCACATCTTTTTGAGGCCAAAAAGATAGTCTCTGCTCTTATATGTGGATGCTCATTTATCCTTAACAAGAAAAATTTGTGTGTAAATCACAAAACATATGCTATGATAATGAATTTGTATTTGATAGGTGCTTTACATCAGTATATTTGCTTACTAAAATTTATGATGGAGTCCTGGTGTTGCACTGTAGGATAAGCACTATACTGCAAGGTCAGTTTGAACTGCAAGGCTAGCAATTCAAACTCAACAGCTATTCCTTAGAAACCCATTCAGGGTTACCATGAGTCAGAACGGACTTGACAGCACTTAACAATAACAAACCTAATGATAGCCCTGTTATTTGGAATATTATATCAAGTGCTTTAGTTACTAGAGCAACAGTGACAAAAAGATCAACTATAAAGGACTTCCATATTTAAGCATAGTCCTATTGCATGTCCAGAAAGACAATATAATATTAACATTTTAGAATTTTGATATGTAAATATATGTGAGTGAATAAAATATTAGGTTTTTAAATTGTATTAACTGAAGTGCAAAATGAGAGCTATTAAATACTACAACAGAAGAATATTTATTCTAAGCTTAACAATATATTTGTCTTTGATTTGGGATAATTAGGTTAAGTGAAATTTGTATTGTTAAGGATCTGCTTTTACTGTCTATCTTTCATAGTATATGTATCAGTACTTAAAAACAGGGGAATATATTCTTTTTTTTCCCAGTAATTGTTGTTGTTGTTAAGTGATGTCATGTTGGTTCCTACTCATAGCGACCCTGTATAGGGTTTCCAAGGAACGGCTGGTGAGCTAGGAACGCAGACCTTGCAGTTCAAACGTATCTTACAATCTGTAGTGCCACACCAGGACTCCAAATTTCATGCAGTATAAAATTATTTGACTTGTAGTTTAGATTCAGTACGTTAACCATTTCCAAAAGTTGACTAAATTATATAATAACACCTATGGAATAGGTAGGAGTTCTGGTGTGGTGTTGCAGGACTGAACCGCAAGGTTGGTATGAACCACAAGGTTGCGAGTTCAAACTCGTCAGCTGTTTCTCGAAAACCCTAAACAGGATCTCTATGAGTCTGTACCAACTTGATGGCACTTAACAACAATAATAACATGGAATATGTACAAAATTGGGTGCATATAAAAGAAAATGTTCAGGTTATTTAATAAAGACTATGGTTGGAACCATGTAAATTTCTGTTGAAACTGCTCTTTTAACATTCTAAGGGATATTGCTCAGTGGCACACGAGTTAATTGCCCAAGGAAAAATGGCCTATCTGCCACCCCAATTCAATTCATTAACTTCACTGTAGTTAAATTTCAGTTAATTGTTCTTTCGAAGACTGAAGCAAACAACAAAAATGTATAACCCACAGTTTTCATGGAACACTGTTTCCTATATGTTTGTCTTTTCTTTTTCTTTATGTTGTTCAGTAACCAGGTCATTTATAGGAATCTCCATATTCCATAGGAGGAAAGTTGCCAGTCTGAAAGTTCAGTGTCTTTAGCGTTCGATTGCTTATCACATTTTTGCCCTCTAGGTGCCAACCTGGATTCACTGGAGCAAGATGTACTGAAAATGTGCCCATGAAAGTCCAAAACCAAGAAAGTATGTTAAAATAATCTGAAATCTGCTTTCTCCCCAAACTACAGCAACAGTCACTATCACTTGGTGTTTTTCCAACTCAGTTGTAACTGATTTCCTTTTGTTCTAATTATGGTTCAGCCACTCAGGGCATTACCCTCTAAAATATGATGTTGTTTGACTGTACCTCAACATGGACCCTGAAGAATGACCCATCTGGCTAATGAGTGTTGCTGGCAATCATGGCAGGCAAGCTAACCCCACACACAAAAATGTTTTCTTTAAATGGAAAACTGAGAGGAATAAATCAGATTTAATTTTATGTGGCTCACTTTGAAGGAAAGCAGTCACTTGAAATACTTGGACTTTTCTGTCATACAAACCCAAACACTATACATTTTTGTCCAAAATGTTAATCATTTGGGGAAATGCCAGAGTCTGAAAGCCATGATTAGCACAAAGATTCTGTTCCTGAGGGTGAACTCACCAAGTTCAGTCAATTGACACTGAAGGAGCTTCTTTCTAGCATATATTCACCTCTTTTCTTTTTCTCTGTTTTTTCTACCATTGTTTTTTTTGTTTCTTCTCTCAGGTGCCCAAATGAGTTTACTGGTGATCGCTGCCAAAACTACGTAATGGCCAGCTTCTACAGTACGTCCACTCCCTTTCTGTCTCTGCCTGAATAGGAGCATGCTCAGTCGGTGCTGCTTTCTTGTTGCTGCATCTCCCCTCAGATTTCACCTAGAGCTAGATGTGTTTTACCAGGTCTAATATTGACTGCCTCTGCCTGTCGCATGAGAACATTAACAAAAGCAATTGTATTACTTCCTCTGTTCGTGACTAGTTGGCTCTGAGTTACTACTAATAGGTGTGTGAGGCTCCAAATGTTTCTGAAGTTGATATTGAATAATGTAATACAAAATGATAGTCAATATCAAACAGTGAAATGACAATAAAGGCATTTAAAAGTCTCAGTTTTATTGATAAAATAAAAATCATTCCACTAAACAGTCCATCTTCTTTATAAAATGACAACATTCAGAAAAGGATGTTGCTAAATTGTAATCCATATACAACTGAAATGATGGTAAGTTAATTTTGATTGACAATGTGTTATTTATAACAAATAAACATAATAAAAAGAGTTCAGGTGTTTCTCTTCATTAACCAAACAGTTTGCATTTAGGTATACAAAAGCATTGAGTAGGAAAATTAGAAACAAACATTTCACAGCAGTGAGCTAGCCTCACTTCCACTTATATTGCTAAGGGAGTAATTCAGGTAATTTAGGACTAGTTTGAACAATTAAATATTTTTTTTAGTTAATTTTAAAGATAAGCTTGGGGAGAAACATGTTATTTCAATATTCATTACTTAATTTGAAATATAACCGTTCAACCCTAGGGAACAACAATATATACATATATTTGTGTTTTTTTAATGCAGAGCTATGAAATTGTGATAGGCTTTGTGGCTTCCTAAAGTTCTGAACACCATCCCAATAAGAAACAATTCAGATTTTATATAATTGCATAAATAACTAGTGTATGTTTTTGTGTTTCTTTTGTGAACAGGGACCATTAGAGTTTGGTCCGCCCTGGAGCTTTCAAAGCATTGCATTCAAAACAAACTCCATATAGTTATTCATTTAGCTCAAGAGTTGGCTTTTTTTTCTTCTTCTGTCAAGGGTCAGTTGGTAAATATTTAAGGATTGGCAGGTGATACAGTCTCCTGTCACAACTACTTAACTCTGCCACTGTAACACATAAACAGCTGTAGGTCATACATAAATGAATGAGCATGACTGTGTTACAATAAAACTTCATTTACAAAAATAGGCAGCAGGCTAAATTTGGCCAGCAGGCCATAGTATGCCAATCCCTGATCTAGAGAGTCAGTTGCTCACCGTGAAAAATATTTCACATAGGTTATTGCACTTTAAATTGCCATAACGTGAGAAACAATGTGGTAAGCTTATCTACATGCATGCAGAGCATAAGGTTCTGGAACTCATAGTAACATTGTTAGGGAGGTATCAGAATGAATTCCATAATGAAGTTTGTTGTTGTTGTTAAGTGCCGTCGAGTCGTTTCCGACCCATAGCGACCCTGTACAGGGTTTCCGAGGCTGTAAATCTTTACGAGAGCAGAAGGCCTCATCTTTCTCCCGCGGAACAGCTGGTAGTTTCGAACTGCTGGCCTTAAGGTTCGCAGCCCGATTCGTAACCACTACGCTACCAGAGCTCAACCCATGATATTTAATCATTTATTTAGTAAGCGGGTAGGTCTTTTATATTTACATGAATTTACAAATCTTTTATATTTAAATTTATTTACATGAATTTATCAAAGATGTGGCATAAGCCATTTTCTGTTTAAAAAATGGATAAATTGATATGGTTAAAATTTCAGATACAATCTTGGCTTTATTCACAAAGATTTAAATAGTATGCCTTTAGTAGATAAAATTTTCCTCTCTATGGCTATAGGTTAATATTACAAAGGCAGATAAGATGAACACTAAACAGAGAGAATAAAAGTTTATTTACCACATGAAAACCCATTCTTTTTAGAACTGCGTTTGTATTCAAATAGCATAGCTTTAGCAAATCTATATGGCATAAAAAGGCATTCAAATTATAATTTGGAACTTAATGAAAATTCTGACTACTTAAGTGTAATTATAATTGATGTTATAGAGAATTTCTTTGTTTTTTGAAGGCAGTGCAGGGTACTATGTAGAGAAAAGCATTCAAACCAAGGTATTTCCCAGAATAATAATGGAGTTAGTTATATCTGGCAATAAAAAATGTGCTTAACCTCTTTTAGACCATTTTCTCTTTCATAAGACATCACTTAAAAATGGCTACTATGTATTTCTGAATTTCTGAGTGGCCTTCCTTAAATCAGTTCTTTACTAAGCCTTAAATGACAGTTTAGGAAGGCATCCAGGAAACGCGTGTTGGTATTTAACCTGATTTTAACACAATTTAGGAAGCCCATTTATAAACAAAATATGTAATGACTGAGGTGCCATATACCTGAAAAACGAAGACCTTCTAGTCAGAGACTGCTGCTCAAAGCTGTCTTATACAAGAATGCTTAACCTCTGGGTCTGAAAGTCTCAATTTTTATCTCTGCATACCCCCACAGAGAAGGCAGGAACATAAAGATGTTTTTGCTACTCTTAAGAGCTTTCGATTCAAGTCGCAGCAATTAAGGGTGCAATAAAGGACTGCAGTCACAGTGACCATTTTTCAGATTTAAGTGTTTATTTGTATTCAGTAAATCTGAAGAAATGTAAGTTAAATTTTAAAAGAAAGATATTCCCCAGCTTCAAAGAGAAACAATTCTAAACTTTACCAAACCACATTTTCAAATAACAAAAAATAACATTCTAAAACAACATAAAATTTTGTAAAATGTTTATTAGCACATAACTTGCATTATTGGTATTTTCATACAATGATTCTTCTGGTTAGAACGTCTGGTGGGGCATTTACTGATTCATAAAAACTGATTTAAAACACAAATGAAAGAAATAAATTATGTTTTATATAAATTTCTTGAAAGCAGAAATTTGTCCTAAAATAAAACACTTATTGTAGTTTTTAGTAAAATACTGTCAAGATTAGTCAGCTTTAAATTTGACCTATCTTGGCACTGAGTTTCTATTGGAAAGAATCATGTTCATCTGTATGTGTGTGAGTGTGACTGTGTGTATACAGACAGTGCATAATCAGTTTATAGAGGAAATAGGTGTACACAGCTTCAATAGTTATAAGCAATATGAAGTAAGTATATTACATATAAACTAATATATAATAGTAGGATAAACACTGGGTTACTAATGGCAAGGTTGGTGGTTCAAACTCACCAGCTGCTCCTCAGAAACCCTATATCGAGTTGTTTTGAGTCAAAACCAACTTTATAGCACTTAACAACAACAATTATAAATTAATGTAAATTATAGTATATTTTTAAAGAGTACAGTTTTAGAACATTTAAGTATATTCTCAAAGTAGGTTAACTAGTTTGGAAACATAGGTTACTAGTGCATAAATTATTTGATCTAATTTCTAAATACTTAAGTAACCTGTGGTGATTATTAGCTTATTTATCCAACATGTTTATCTTGCTGACAGTCTAGTCTGCTGACAGACACATTCCACCTATGATAGACTTATCACAAATTCCAACCTTAAATGAGATTATACTCTGTGTGTGTGTTTGTCTTTGTGTGCTTGTGTGCTCATATGCACATGAAAATTTGGGAGTAAGGAGAAAGTCTCCTTTCACAGTTCAAAAGGTTCAATAGCAATACGGAGTGACATGTGAAAAACACATATTCTACATTTGTAAAGGTAAGTCTAAAATTAAAAAGCAGATGCTAATTTGGTCCCATTTAGAAATGGGGTTGATAGAATTCCTGTAGAAACATCAAAGGTACAAAAAGTGAAAACTACACACGTCTTAGAGATTACTTACAAGTGTAGACCCAAGATGCTTAAGAGTAAAATTCTGAATGTCTTCAAACTTTAATAGAAACCATGACTTTGGTTTAAAAAAAAAAAAAGTTATACTGTTCTTTTCTTTTAGTGAAATTGAAAGCTTAAATGAACCTTCAGGTTAACCATCTTTCTCCAAACAATTATAAAATCCTAAGACAAAATATTAGTGAGTCCATATTCAACAGTTTCTGAAGACTGCTAGATTTAAATTAATTTTTCATATTGCTTAGTGCACAGCAGGAAATCACATGTAGAAAAGGAAACGAAATTGTTTACAGTAACCTTTGTGTTTTTGAATTATTAATTTAATTTGAAAAATGTAGTGGCTAGGCAGAAGTTCAATAGGAAGCATGTGATTCATAATGAGCCTATACCAACATTAGATTAAATATAACAGATAGAAAGTAATCTCTTCAGAGAACGAAAAGTGTTTGTGGATTCTGTTCCTTATGACTTACAACAAAAGGAATATAGCTACCAATAGGGCAAATAAATGATAGCAGCATTTGCTTCAGGTCTAGAATGACTTATGCATGCTTCCTCCGCTTGTTTCCTTGTTAGGGCTTATGGCCAGAAGAGATTTCAATTTTAAGTACCAATTTCCCATTGAATTATTGAAATTGGAGCTGCCTGATATGAATGACTTCCCCTGAAATTAAATTACATAGTTAGGCTCACAGACTTACCTATAAAACTGTAAATGCAGTAATATGTATGCATGGGCATGCCACTAATTTTATTGAAGACTTAACCAAGCTTTCTACGTAACTAATACAGATCATTAGCAGTGTTCACGTAGACATGGAGTCATGATTCTCTGGAAAGAATCTATGTAGTTATCTCTTAATTTTAACCCTGAAAATATACTGACTGGTTGGAGGAAAAGTGAGGAGGAGTCTAGAGAAGAAAATGGCATCACACCCTCATGGAATTGAATAAGAAATTTATTGTCCACTTCCTTCAAAAATGAGTTTTTTTCACCTTGACTTCCCCAAGTTTATCTAAAGGGCAAAACACAAGTCAATCTGACAATAGACTGTTTTCCTGAGGCCATGAAATCCATTTAGATCTGAATGCATTGTTATTTTGCTGTGAACTTTGTGCAACCAAGTTCCCCTCCCAACACTGGGTTATGAAAGATTTAGTTCTTTCCCTGTGTACTCTGAAGTACAGAGAGACTCTCACAGATACAAGTATAATATATAGTGTCTCCTTTTACCATTATCAGAGACTTGATGTGGCACTGTTAGATAAGCACTGCATTGCTAACAGAAAGATCAGTGGTTCAAATCCACCAGCCACTCCTCAGAAATCCTATACAGGGTCACTATAAGTCAGAACCCATTCGACAGCACAAACAGCAAAAACATTCCCATTGTTACTGTGTTTATTATTTGATTTTGTTTTGTTTTTTAAATCTGGTAGCTTCATCTCCTTAAGTGGGGCGGAAAGTTTCTAAAGACTGTATTTATGGATATACCCCAGGGCCCTTCAGAATTTTCCTGGCCATGCAATTGATAAAAAAAACTCAGCCTAAATGCAGCAGGTAGCTTAAGGCGAATTTCAAGATCTATCTGTAGCTCCCCCTGCTGCTTGCTGACACTAGAGTTCATGGGGTTTGGGAAGCCACATGACTCACAGCTTTCTCAGGATCACCTGTGA